CCATGTTTATCAGAAAATGTTCTGTTCTGTTTTGTTTTGTTTTTTATTAATTTATTTTGATTTATCAACAATCACTTCTATATGCTTTTAAGTTTAAAATTTTTCTTTCCCTTCCTCCCCACCATCCTCTCCAAGAGGGCGCACAATCTGATATAGGCTATATATATAAACAGAAAAGGTTCTAATGTATCTCCATTGCATATGATGTTTACTTTTGGCTTTAGATAAATAATTTTTAATGTACTTTAAAAGGTCCTTTTATGCTTATAGTTTGTAGGATTTTTAGCATAAAAGAGTGCTGTGCTTTATCAAAGCCTTTTTTTTCTACTAGACAATCCTGTGGTTTTGGATGTTTTGGTTTTTAATATGGCTAATTATATTGATTGCTTTCCTAATATTGAATCATCCTTGCATCCCTGGTATAAACTCCAATTGGTCATAATGAATTGTTTCTTGAATAAAATGCGGTAGTCTGATAGGATTTTGTTTAAAATTTTGGTCTATAATTTTCTTTTTGTGTTTTATCTTTCCTGGTTTAAATATCAGGACTATGTTTGTCTCATGAAAGTATTCTGTTAAGGTGATTTCTTTCTCAGTTTTTGAGAATAATTTGTGAGGTATAGGTAATTGTTCTCTAAAAGTTTGATAGACTTCTGTGAATATATCAAGACCAGGAGTTGTGCCCCCACCCCCACCCCACATACACATTTGATAGTTCCTTTTTCACTAGATCTACTTCTTTTTCTGATATTGGTTTATTTTATTTTATTTTTTTTTAGGCAATTGGGGTTAAGTGACTTGCCCAGGGTCACACAGCTAGTAAGTGTCAAGTGTTTGGTCTGAGGCACTGTGCCACCTAGCTGTCCCTGATATTGATTTATTTAAGATCTCTTTCTGATCTTTTGATAGTTTGGATATTTTATTACTTACTATTTTGTTTTGTGTTTTCAGTTTTCAGTTTTGTTAGCATATTAGCATATTAGCATGTCAGCATAATATGTTCTGATTATTCTTTTTATTGCTTCTGGTTTTGTTGTAATTTCTCCTTGCTCAGTTGCTATTTTATTGATTTGATTTTCTGCCCTCTTCTTTTTAATCAGATTAGCTAGAGATTTATAAATTTTATTAGTCTTTTCAAAGTACCAATCTTTATTTTTAATTATCATTTCTAAGGGGGAGGTGTTTCCAATGTATCTATTTCCCTTCTAGTTTTTAATATCTCCTCTTCAGTGCTTATTTTAGGTTTTCTTTTTTTTTTTTTGGCTTTCTAATTTATTTCAACATGTATATTCAGTTCATTAATCCTTTCTTTTTCTGTTATTATGTGTTTGTAGGAATACAATTTCTCCCCTGAGGACTGCTTTAGATGCATCCCAGAAATTTTGGTGTATTGTTTTATCATTATCATTTTCATTTCCGTAACTGTTATTGTTTGTATGATTTATTCTTTGACCCATTCATTATTTATGATTTTATTGTTAAGTCTCCCTTTGGGTCTGTATCTTTTGCTTGTAGTCCCTCAACTAATGACTATTTGTATTGCATTATGGTCAATAAAGAATATATTAACTATTTCTGCCTTTTTACATTTGTTTGCAATATCTTTGTGCTGTAGTACATGGTCAATTTGTGTAAAAGTTCTATATGGTACTGAGAAATATGTATACTCTTTAGTAATTCCACTTAGCAGACATCAGAAATCTTTTAATTAATTTCTCCAGTAATTTGTTTAGTTTCATATTTTCCCTCTTGTTTATTTTTGTTAGATTTATCAAAAACTGAAATATTGAAGGAATATTGAAGTCTCTTGCCACTATTGTGTTACTGTCTGTATCTTCTTATAACTCAGAAAATCTTTCCTTTATGAATTTTGATGCTAAGGCATTTGGAGCTTATAGATTTATTACTGATATTGGTTTGTCATTCATGGTTCCTTTCAGCATAATGTAGTTTCCTTGTTTATCCCTATTTATTTTCTGAATGTTTGTTTTTTGCTTTGTCTGATAGTAATATTGCAGCTCTTACCTTTTTGGTTTCACTTGATACATAGTAAAAAAATCATCTCAGTTTTATTTTCTGTGCTTTTGTTTTAAAAATGTATTTCTTGTAAGCAATAGATTGTCAATCATTGTTTTCTTATCCAATCTGTCACTCTTTTTTCATTTTATGAATTTTTTAGTCCATTTACAATTTAATTTATGAGAGTTAATTTTCCTCAATCTCTCTCTAATATTGGGTTTTTTCTCAAATTATGGATTTTTGCCCTCTTCTGCCATAAACATAGTACTATATTCCTTCAGTTACTTTACCTTAACCTTTTTTAAGCTGGTCCTATTCCCACTGGCTCTCTTCTTCTCACCTCTAATTCTTTCTTTTCACTTAATCACCTTTTTCCCTTTGGGGTTTTGCTTGTTAGTTGCTTTTTCTCCTCTGCTTTTATCTGGTTATGTAATTCTTCACCTCTCTTCTTTTTTTCCCTCTCAGTAGACTTCCCCTTTTTCTTCTCCCCTTTAATTAATCCTGTTCATTAGTTGTTGTTGTTTTTTGTTTCATTTCTCTTTTGAACCACTCAGTGGTTCAGTGGAACAGTATATTATGGTTCCATGTTCTCTTTCCCATTCCACAAGGTCCTCTCTCTCTCATTAAGTTTTTAATTGGTTTCTTTTGTTTTGCAGTATTTATTCCCAAATGTCTGAACTTTACTAGATCTAAAGGTCATATTTCCTTCTGTTGTTAATATTTTTCCTATTGATTTATCTGCTTATGTTCCAGGTCTTTGAGTTTTTGTCTTCCCTGGATCTTTGGTAATTTCAGTCCTTCCCTAACTCTGAATTCTTTTGATGGTGGTGGTTTCTTTGGGATCTGGATTTCAAAGTGTCAGCCTTCTCACATGTTGGGCAATTCACTCCTCACATGCTGGCCAATTCATGGTTCGTTAGCCTAGATCGCTGCCCCAATTAACTTTTTGGTGGTCAGAAATGGCCCCGGCTGAATGTTGAGCTTTCCCTCAGACTTAGTGGAGTCCTGCACAGTGCCCCCACGCACAGTGTCTTGTCCTGCTCTACCCCACTGCCTCCATTTCTCAGTTCTCTGGCCAGGTACCAGCAGCTCAAGGAGCCTCCTGGCTGGTGCTATGGGTTAGGGCATCCTGGCAGCAGCATTTCAAAACTTTGCAGCTCTGATGCTGTGGGCTTGCGTGGCCATACTGGTTGTCTGCCTGGGCAGACTTCTATAGCCTGGAGCCATGTTCTCCATGGTCACTGGAAGGAGGGAGAGAGGACCAGGGTATAGGGTGGGTTTTATTATAAGCTCTTGTGCCAAGGTCCTTGGGTCTGCTAGTATAGCTTTGCTGCTGGTAGTAAGGGAGGTGGATTAGGGATGATGAGTCTGCTCAAGAGTAGTAAACATTAGTTCATTTTTCCTTTCTAACATTCTTTTGTCTTCTGGATGTCTTAGACCATGGAGATAGCTGAAGTTGCTTTATCTTTGGCACATAATTTTTGTTTTGGAGAGATTTGAGAGGTTATGGGGATCAGAGACAATGTCTGCTAGTCTTCCATCTTATTGTCCACGTGACCCAGAATTCTCTTACCAGTGCCTTATAAAGGGCTTTGCATGCAGTATATGCTCAAAACATATGTATTTGATGAATGAATATATAGTAGGCGTATTGGTGGACTGAGATATTTCTTTTCTTTTTTTGGTTAGGCAATTGGGGTTAAGTGACTTACGCAGAGTCACACAACTATTATTATGTGTCTGAGGCTGAATTTGAACTCAAGTCCCCCAGGCTCCAGGGCTATCCATCAAGCCATCTAGCTTCCCCAGAGGTCTCTCCTATGTAGCTGGGTATTTGCTTGACCCCTTTCTATGAGGACTCCTTTCTATAGGAGATGTGACTCAGAAACTCCTGATTTGTCCTTTGGACCTTGTGCCTTTAAAGATGATTGGCCACAGAGTCAGGAGGAATTTCCCCATTCAGTAGTGCCATAAAATGTGGGGTAAAAATCATTGTTAAGGGCATGCATGGCTGGATCATGAAGTGGGCTGGCTATGTATCAATCAGTCAATCAAATCAATCAATCAATCAATCAATCAATCAATCAATCAGCAAGCCTGAATCAAACTCCTGCTATATGCATACACCATGCTAGGTGCTGACCTAAATGAAACAATGCCTATCCTAAATTCTATAGGGGGAGATAGCACTTACATATTAAAGTATATGTAACCCTACCTCTGGGATACCCCCTCCCCAGTTTGCACTCACCATTGGGAAACCCCAGGAAGTGACAACCTTGTGTTCAATGTACTCCTAAAACAATATAATGAGCCCTCACCAAAGCTCACCTAGAAGGGCAGAATTCTAAAGGACTCATGATAAAGAATGCTACGCACTTCCTGACAGAGAGGTGATGGACTAACGGTGCAGAAGACATACATTTTTACATGATTTATGTGGGAATTTGTTTTACTTGACTATTCCTATATGTTACAAGCGTTTTAGTTTTCTTATTTTCTGTGGGGTAGGTAGGAGAAAGAGGAAATACATGCTTGTTAATTAAAATAAAAATTAATTCATTTAAAAAATGACTTTGCCCTTTTGGTTGACCCTCTATAGAGGGTCTATGGAAGGAGGAGCACAGGGATGAGAAGGTGCAGATAGGCTAGCATCTACATCAGGGGAAGAAGCCGGAGGCAATCACAGGTCCGTCAAATACCACCACCACGACATATAAATGGGAATTACGGTAATGACTGATACAGTCTGTCCATATTGGGTTCAGTTTAAATCAGGCTAAGGGCTTTAGCAGCAGGATTCTGCAGACTGCTCAGGTAGCTTTCTGGGTGTGTGGGAGGGGAGAGAGTGGGTGTTAATCTCTGCGGAAGGGAAGAAGCTAGGAGTTACCATGCAACCCAAACGTACATGACAGTAAGCGACAGACGTCTCTATGAGGTCATAGCGCGGATCGGCTCACGAGTCGAGGAACGTCTGGGGAATACCAGCTCCAGACTTAGCTATTCTTCCCCTAGCATGGATAGCTCCGTGCCTCCAGGCTCTACGCCTCCCACTGCGTGACGCAGGTAACTGAGGCGAGGTGTCAGAGACTAGGCCACGCCCCCAGCCTCTCCTGGGAGGGAAAACAAAGCCAGACTCCAGATTGGAGTTGGACTCCCCCTACCCCAGCCCCAGGGCTTCTCGAAGTCTGGGCCCCTACCTGCCCGTGGGGCAGCTGATCGTCAGGTTTATAGGTATCTTCGGAAGCCCAGGGCCTAGGGGGGCAGGGAGCCCACAGCCTCAGCCCCCATCGCTTCTTCTCTACCCCATGTCCACTGCTTTTAATCTGGGATGGGGGCGCCACCTCTACGTGCCCTCCCTTCCACCCCAGCTCTCCCCTAAGCCCAGGCATTGCCTCTTAGCCCCAGTGCAGACCCCTACTACATTTCTATCACGGTATCTGGGGTCCTTATGGTCCACCCTCCCCATCCCCGCCACTGCAGGCCAATTGTAAGAAGTTTGACAAACTCTTTCCTTCCTCCCCAGACTCTGGTGGGGAAGGGAATAGGTGGGATTGTTGCTGGCTGATTTCCTCCCATTGTGATTTTATCTTTCCCTTAACACCTCTTCCCCTACTTCCTCCTTCCTCCTCCCTCCTCCCCAGCATCCAAACCCTACTTTCTCTGAGGCCAGAGAGCTCAGGGGGGGATCCCTGCCTGGAATGGGAAGGGGGATAACCCTGTTGGGACACTGGAGTCCCAGCTCCTAATGCTTTCTGGAGCGTAAATGTGGAACAGTGGGGAGAGAAAAGATTTTGCAGCTGTTGGCTCCTAAAAGGACTGCTGGGGGCGGAAGGGGCATATTCCTTGGAGATGGATGTGCCCAGTTTGTCTTGGGTGAAAGAGGAAGTTGAGCCCACTCTAGAGGAGGTTGAAGGGGTGTTCCCATTACCAAGCTTCCTTACACTCCCAGCACTGCCCTCACGCTTCCCCTCCCCGCCCCCAGAACACTAGGTGATCGTAGTCAGACTGAACAGTGTAGGAAGACTCTCTCTCTACCAGTTGTGAGTGTCCTTTCCCAGAGGGGAACAGAAGAGGCTTAGGGCATTTGGGCAAATCTCTAGTGCCCTGTCGGACCTTCCACCCTGGGTCTCTACCTTGCCTGTCAGTCCTATCCAGTTGCTCTTCATCTCTAAGTCAAGGCCCTGGGGACTGCTTCCAGAAGGAACATGGGCGGAGGCTTCCTGTTACCTAGAGAGATGACCAAGTCAGGGAGAGCAGAGCCTTGGAAGCATCGAGTTGCCACCAGTAGGGTTTCTATCCTCTTTTCTCTCCAGTCTGATGAATGAAGCGGTACGAACGTGCAGCAACATGGAAGAGGTCATTCTGGACATGACTCACTTCTTGATGTGGGACATCTGACAGCAGGAAAACCTGGGAAACCTACTATTCCAACCTAGGTGGCCCTGGGGCACCAAAGGGAGCATTTTTCTCTCCCAGAAAACTGTTGGGTCTGCACCTAAGAGACTGGGTTGGGGAAGGGGAAGTGGATAAGGGCTGCCCTGTTTGCTTGTTTCCCAGGGGAAGAAGCAAAAGTGGCCCAAGTCCTAGGACACTCTGCCCATGACCTGGCATCAGGGCAGTGCCCATTAAAATCAGAGAGGTGGAAGGGACCGTAGATGCCATTCAATTTAGCCTGTACATGATCAGCAATCTTTTATATAACTTTGCTGACACATAAATGGAAGGCCTCTAGTAAGCAGACCTCCTTGGGCAGAGGGAGAGGGGGTTCGACTGGAACAGCAGCTTATTACACTTTGGGTTAATGCAGTAATTGAGATGGGTGGTGATGATGGCTTATGGTTTGGATATTTCTAATGGTCAGGTTATTATTTTCCTTAAATTAACTCTAAATTTGCCTCATTGTATCTTCTACCCATCATTACTATTTGTGCCCTCTGGGGCCAAGCAAAAGAAATTTAATCCCTCTTCCATGAGTTCTCCAGACACTTGAAACCTCCTCTCCTGCCCCATCCCTCCCCTTTTCTTCCTGGGGAACCTATATGGGTAGTCCTGGGCCCTGAGAGTTTCTGAACCAAACACTGTGTATCAGACCACCCACCCAAGTCTTCTCATCCACATTTCTTTCAACTATGGCATGCTCTCCTGTCCTCTCATCACTCTGGATACCCTTTTGGACACTCTCTGGCTAGCTGGCAATATCCTTCTAAAATGTGGGAGCAAAACCAGACCACGATATTCAGGGAGTAGCGAGACCCTCTCCTCTCTCATTTTAGAGGAGCCTTCCCCCCCTTTTATTAATTTATTTTGATTTATGAACAATCACTTTCATAAGCTTTTGAGTTTTAAATTTTTCTTCCCCTTCCTCCCTCCCCAAGATGGCATGCAATCTGATATAGGCTATACATATACATTCCTATTAAACATATTTTCACATTAGTGATGTTGTAAGGAAGAATTAGAACCAATAGGAGGAACCACAAGAAAGAGAAAACAAAACAAAACAGAAGAAAAAAATGGCAAATAGTATGCTTCAATCTGCATTCAAACTCCATAGTTCTTTCTTTGGATGTGGATAGCATTTTCCATCATGAGACCTTTGGAGATGTCTTAGATCCTTGCATTGCTGACAAGGGCTAAGTCTATCAACGTTATTCCTTGCACAACATGGCTGTTACTGTGTCCAATGTTCTTCTGGTTCTACCCACTTCACTCAGCATCAGTCCGTACAAGTCTTTCCAGGTTTTTCTGAAGTCTGCCTGCTCATCATTTCATATAGCACAATAGTATTCCATTACATTCATAGAACACAACTTGTTCAGCCATTCCTCAATTGATGGGCATCCTCTTAATTACCAATTCTTTGCCACCACAAAAAGAGCTGCTAAAAATATTTTTGTACATGTGGGTCTTTTTCCCATTCGTATGATCTCTTTGGGAATACAGCCCTAGAAGTGCTATTGCTGGGTCAAAGGGTATGCACATGTTTATAGCCCTTTGGGTATTGTTCCAAATTGCTCTCCAAAATGGTTGGATCATTTCACAACTCCACCAACAATGCATTAGTGTTCCAATTTTCCCACATCTTCTCCAACATTTGTCATTTTCCTCTTTTGTCATGTTGGCCAATCTGATAGGTGTAGATGAGCCTTTCTTAATACAGCCTAATATTGAATTAGCTTTTATTTGGCTGCTACATAGAATTGAGCTTGCAGACCACTAAGACACTCAGATCTTTTTCATAGTTGTTGCCTAGTGACAGCTCATTCATCTTGAACTTGTGAAACTAAAAGCATATTTTGTCATGACGTGCCCTGCCCTCCAGTCAGTCTCCCCTGTCTGGGATGCTATAACTGACTCAGTTCTCCCTCCCTCCCTCCTCACCCCCCAACTTGAGAGCAGCTTGACAGACAAGTGATGGAGTCTTGCGGTGTTGAGTTTTGCCCATTTTTTCTTGCCAATCATTTAACTGATGTCCAAGGTACAATGTCCCTCACAATTCTGGGATCTCTACTCTCTTGTCTTCTTTGAACAGGCTTTAGGATACTACTGTCCATGATATTCCTTGGGTAGGGACCTATGCTCACCCCAGTGATACTTGAAAAATTTGAGAGACATAGTTTCTGGATAATTAGTCATTTTATTAATAATGCCAACATATTACCAATAAAATGTGTCAGTGACACTCTGGAATGCCAAAGATAAATCATGGCATGGGCTCACAGTTTAAATGCCCTTGGAAGAGTGGGTGTTCCTGAGAGTGGCAGTCAACTGTGATTGGTTAACAATTAATGAGAGAGAATGAATATTATAATGAGAAGTGGACCTATTTTAATAAGGGGCTAGGGATGTGACTTTGATCATGTCATTTACTTCCAAATCATCCCCAGCCTAGGGAAATCTAGACAAAGGATCCATATATCCCACCCAAGCCTGAGTAGAACACAATCTGATTAAGTTCCTTGTAAGGTTGGTTGGGGTAGCAATACCTAGATTGAGGAGAAGGTATCATTAGTCCTTTCCTTCAGAGGCTGATCCTTGAAATGAGAGCTTTAGAAAAAGGGGGAGAACTCTGGATCTTTCCAAATCATTGGTTATTAATAATCATTTCTCTCACCCCAGATTTATGGAAGAGAATTTTAAAAGTTGGGAATAAGGATGGGGACCAAAATATTTGAGGCACTGGCACAAGGGCAGTGATCCTTCCAGAGAACATCTCCAGTGTCTCCCCCAGGTGTCACCAAACTTGAGACCCAGGGGAAAAGGGAGCAAGTAGGCTGAGGGAAAGCTGAGTGTAACCATAACTTCCTTCTGCTTCTCAGCTCATCATCCTAGGCATTGATAGCACTAACGGGAAACATCTGCCAGTTTGCTGCTGGCATGTGAGGTGAGGCTGAGGGACTTCTGAGATAGGGCACACAGTGCTCAACTGGCCAAGAGCTTTCTTGGGAAGTGAGTCCTATGCCATCAAGATAATCATTGTATATAGGATCTCTCTTAAGTGAGGGCTGATACTGCTCACATAATACTGTACCCCTACTCCCCTGCCCAGGCAGGTACCCTCCTCTCAGGAATCCTGGAGGCTTGGCCCCAAACTGTGAGCCAAGTATTGCCCACCAGAACACCCATCCATGAAAAATATCGATTGATCTCGGCCAAGTGGCAGTCCTATGTCCATCACTTTGTTTCTGATGGCACCAGCAAGGTCATCAATCTCACCTGCAGCTCCAGGCTTAGTGCTCACCTTAGTGGCAAGTGAATATTCCAGTCTCTTGATCTGGTCATTTAAAAAAGCCTAGGCTAGTCTGGTGCTGGTTATGAGGGTTGAGGATGGGAAATGAATGGTTGCCCTGGGTCAAGGAGGGGGAAATTAGTGGGTAATGAAGGTGGGTACTCGCAGATGATTTAATTTTTAAAAGGAGTTTCTCTGGCAGGATATTCCAGATTTGTCAGTGGTCATCTTTGCCAATAAGCAGGATGTGAAGAATTCAATGACCACGTCAGAAATCTCCCACTCGAAGGATCTCAGTTCTATCAAAGATCATCCATACAAGCCTGCTGTGCTATCACAGGAGAAGGGTCAGCAAAGACTGAGCCTGGGGACAGCCCTGAGAGCCTGGGACCCTGACCTTGTTCCCCAGAACAATCTCTTCTCTCCTTCCATTGCTCTCAAACAAGACCTGTAGGGGTACAGTCACCTGTTGTGGAGAAGTTAGGACAGAGAGATCCAGGGCTTAGTCAGATAAAGGGCAAGCCCATTTCTGGTTGTGCCATCTCTCTGCTACCCCTGGGGCAGGAGGGAGTTAACCTAGCCACCCAGATGTGTTACATTATCCTGAAACTTGCCCTCCCTATTGGAGTAGGAAAGGGGGATCTGACCTACCCTAAGGATACCCACCCATTAAACCTCTTGCTACAAGTGAAATATTCCTTAAATTACTTTCATGCAAATAAGGGGGCCCTAAGCCTTGCGGGCATATGCCTTATGGGGAGCTAGGTGGCACAATGGATAGAGTGCTGAGCCTGGAGTCAGGAAGACTCATCTTTCTGAATTCAAATCTGGCCTCAGATACTTACTAGCTGAGTGATCCTGGGCAAGTCACTTAACCTGGTTTGCCTCAGTTTCCTTATCTGTGAAATGAGCTGGAGAAGAAAATGGCAAACTATTCTGGTATCTTTTGCCAAGAAAAACCCAAATAGGGTCATGAACGGTCAGACAGGCTGTCTAAAATGAGGGCAGGGCTGCTGTCAGAGGGAGGAAAGAAGCCTAGCTGAACAATTTAGGTATTGAGGCAGTGCTTTGGAGATGACCACTGTCACTCTGGCGATGGCATTTAACTGCTGTCCTTTGTCTCTTCTTCCAGGCTTCTAGCTAGGTTCACGTGGATGAAATCTCCAGTTACTGCCAACTGATGTCTAGTTAGCAGCCTCCCTCTTGCTTCGAGCCCTCAGGTTAAACAGAAAGTTTTGAGTATTCTATTTTTCTAAGGACAATGTGGAAGAAAAATAGCAAAATTATTTTTTTCTACATTTCTGAGAGAGGGTGTTGGGGGCAGATGGTAGAGTCTGGCTTTTGGACACTGCAAACCTCCTGGGACTTAGCTGTCAGCCCACCTGCCTGCCTGCCCATCCTCTGACTCTGAGAGAGAGGAAGAAGACAGAAGCTCTCTCCTCAAAGGAAATATGTGCCCTTCCCAGAGGCACTGGACAAGGCAGGGGTGATGTGGGGGGGGCAAGGAGGTGGAGAATGAGAATTGAGCACTTCCCCCTCATCCCACTCCCACAATCTTTATACTGACATACCAGGCCTTGAAATTTCTAGAATATACTTTTGGGGAGAAAGGAAGAGAAGAGTGAGGGTAAAGGGGCAGACATTGGACCTCTTCTTTACCTCTTAGATCTCTCTACCTTCATCCTCTCTGTCCCTAGCTCTTAGCAGTGTTTTGAATGTTGTAAGCATATAATAAAGGTATTTTCGTATTTTTCTTTCATTTATTCATCCTTTCCCCAGTCTCAGGGAGATTTCAGTATGTCAGGAAGGTAGATCAGGGCAGCCTTGGTGCAAACTGTGCTCTTTTTACACTCCAATCCCTTCTTTCTACATCTGCCATTCTCCTTCCAATCCTACCCCTCTATTTCTTTTTTTTTTCACCCCTCTATTTCCCAACCTTTTTATCAATTACTCCTTTCACCCTGTTCAATTCCTAATCCCACTCAAGTCTTTTCAGTGTCTATGTGTTCATCTTTTTGTGATGATTTTTTAAAAAAATTGTGTTGGTTATTAAAGAAAATAAAACTATATCCTGGGGGTAATAAATGCCTTCTTAAGCTGTCTGCTTCCTTAAACCATACCATTGCTTTTCCCTATACTTTCTGGCTCCTGGACGAGAAGCATTCCAGGCTGAGGTACTGGTAGATCCTACATTTCGGGCCTGAATAGACAAGCTTAGAAAAGGAAGGGGCAGGAGAGGCTTGCCAGGCTTCATTTAAGATGGCCACCAGCTCCTTTCAGCTTAGTGATGTCATCAGAAGAACTGACCTTGTCATGTTTTTGAAACTTTTACTATCTATGTGATCTTAAGCAAGTCATTCTTTGAGCCTCAGTTTTCTCATCTGTAAAATGGGGTCTTAACACTTGCCCTACCTACCTCAGTCAGTCAATATGCATTTATTAAGCTCCTAGGATGTGCTAGACACTGTTCTAAATTGTGGGAATACGAAGAGAGGCAACTCCTTAGTGATTTTTGTGAAGTACTTTGTGGTAAGTTGCGGAATTGCCAAAATTCAGCTGCTGCCAGATATGTATAATAAAAACAGGAATGTGGCTAGGTGGGTAGAGAACAATAGCTTTGACTCATTAGCTTATCTTGTTCTGGCTTAAAGTCATTTACATGCAATGTCAGAGAGAACTATCTAACTCTAAGTTAGTTATCTGTAAGGGAGGGCTTGGATCTCTGCCTAGATTTGTAAACTTAAAAGGGACAGAGAAATAAGAGCAATATTTGTAACTATGTTTATTGCAGTTGTTTTCCAGTTGGCACGGCGTGGCGGCTGAGGTGACACTGCTTCGAAGTTCTGGCTCGCAGTCTACCTAAGGAGACAGCCTCGGGGGCATTGAGAAGAGGTAGGAGGAGGCTAGATTGATTTCAGCTTGTCTCATCCCTGAGGGATGAAGGGTCTCCTAAGTGTTTGTTCTCAGGCAGTGTACACCCACAGTCTAGACAGAACTGGAAGTAAGACAGAGGCGGGGACTGCCCTTGGCTGGCACTGGTGCCCAGATAACCTCTGAGAGCACTAAGGGTGAAGGGTTCTTAATCCGCGTTCTATACAGAGCAGTATCAATTCGGAACTGAGACACAAGGCTGACCTAAGGTTTCCTATCAAGTCAGCCCATTCCTGGTTTGTCTTTCTCTTCCCCTACCCCCACCTCACCCAGGCTGGTGGTTTTGCAGTAACCTTGCGAATGAGTTTTGGCATCTAAACTGGTTACTCTTACCTTAGCTCTGTGCTTTCCTCAGTATTTTTCAAGTGTGGAGTGAAGAATTCTCTCTCCTAAACCTTACCGACCAGTCGTCAGTAAACTACCACGCCCTTGATTTACAAAGGTAAATGCATAGGGAAACGATTCATAGGCGTGGGGGTATAGCTCAGTGGTAGAGCATTTGACTGCAGATCAAGAGGTCCCCGGTTCAAATCCGGGTGCCCCCTACCAGCCAATTTTGCTTAAGCTTTAAAATCCACTTCTGCCCCCACCATTGAATTTGCAGGGGACTTGGAGTTAGGAACACACGTTCTCGTTAGTGTTGAACTGGATGTTCCCGTTCAAAGACGTGTCGCGAATTCCACCAATCGTCCCATGTTGTTGCAAAGTAGGCGGGAGGAGGTAGCTTCTTTTCTCTTTCCTGGAGATACTGGTGCACATGTGGTGGCGGTGGAAGGGTGGGGTGCATGCAGTTGGGGTATCGGGGTGGTTTTGGTAGGGGGACTGAACAGCATGTTGAATGCTTAGGTCAACACCTCCTCTCTGCTCGGAACAACTGAGCCTACGCTTGGCTCCTGCGTTCACCATCTCCATGCAGAGTGAAGGGAATTGTTCCACTGGTGAGAGAGGGCCAGGACTAGGAAAGAGCAGAAAAAGGGCCATCCTTGGAGTGTGGCAGGAACGACTCTTGGAGTTGGGAAGTATCCTTTTCCTGTACGGAGCCCTCCCTCCCAGGTTTCCCATGACTTGAGTTCTCAAAGAAGAGTTGCAAGACCTCTGCTTGGGTCTTGTAGGAAGGGGGCACTCTCTCAATAAGCGGAAATCCTGAGCTGTCAGGTTCTGCAAACAACTTTTTTTTCCTATATCTTATATTTACATATCTAAGGGCTTATTGTATCGCATTAGTACAAGTCCCTTGAGGGTCGGGACTCTTCTTTTTCTCTTGTATCTATAGTTCCTAGCACAGTGCCTACCTCACAGTTTTTTCCTACTGTGGGTGGATGTATTATAAAAACAATTCCATTCTTAGGTGAAAAAAAAAAAGAAAAAAATCCTATGACGCCTGCGCGGAGATAGCCTCTAAAAGTTCTCTGTACGCGTTGTTCGTCCGGCAGAGGGGGTATAGCTCAGTGGTAGAGCATTTGACTGCAGATCAAGAGGTCCCCGGTTCAAATCCGGGTGCCCCCTTCTTTAACTCAACTCACTAGTTTTTCAACTTTATCCTAAATTTCGCGGGCGTGGGGACGGCATTCTATTTTAAATTGAGTCTAGGATCACCTGTTCCCTGCTTTTCATATTAAGCGTGTTGAGGTTGACTCTTCCTTCTGACGCCTTTGCACTCCGAAGGGGGAGGAGGGATGATGGAAAGGGGGAAGGTACTCTGAAACTCCTAGCTGTTTAAGGTTTTAAATTTGTACGTGTTCCTGGGTGGGGGGCGAAGGGAGACTTTCTTTGCCAGACCTCCCTCCCCGCAAGCCGCTGCGGGGCACCCCACTAGGACTCCGGGAGCTTGGATTCTGTCTTTAGAGATTCCACCTCGAGCCCCTCTCCTTGTTAAGGACAGCCAGAAGGGTCCCCGGGCTGAAGAATGACTGATTGCCAAGTGCGACCAAGTCCCGCAAAGTGGCCTCTCGGCCAAACCTGGCAACCAAGAACTATCCGGCCCGGAGGCGCTGGGGCTTCCCCCCGAGCAGCCACTAGAGGGCAGCAGGAGGCCGCGTTGGAAAGGGGCTCCAGCGCGGTCCCCAGCGCCGCCCCGGACCGAGGGGATTTATTAGTGAGATGCCAACAGCGGCCCCTGCCAAGCCAACGGGAGGCTACGGGATGGAGTCTGTGCCAGGGCAAAAAACACACCGGCGGCTGTGGAGCTGGAATCCATCGATCAATCAGCATTTATTTGATAAGTGCCGCTGCGTTAGGAACTGGGGACATGAATGGAAAAATGAGAGTCCCTGCCCTCTGGGAGTTTACAATCTACTAATGGGATACAACAAATTAACAGGGATATATGCAACAACAACAGTGCTTAGGGTGGCCCTAGAGGAATCAGGAAAGGCTTTTGGAAGAGTTAGACTACAGGGCCCTGGGTGCCGGAACAGAGAATTGAGTTGGAGCAAAAAGGAGAGGATGTGGGGGCTGGGAGGAACTCCGGGAAGAAGAAGTTGATTGACATTTGGTTTGTGTCTTAACTTGCAAATTACACATTTCGTGTAAAAAGCGAGCAAGTCTCCAATCCCTACTATGTAACTCTCCAACCAAGCCTCTCCATCTCAGTGCCTTCCAGAATCTTTTCAGCACTTTTCCACAGATAACCCCATCCCACCCCCTAACCCAACCCTCCAGGCTCTCTTTCCATAGGCCTTTGTCCCTTGTACCCTCTCCCTCCTTTTCCACACTCTCCCCATGCACCTCCCTCCAGGTCCTGTCCTGGGTGAGAATGCTATTTAGTACCCAGTGCCACCCCGGCTCCTCCTTCACGACTTTTAAGTAGGCCGGGGGAAGAAAGAGGCACTTCAGTGTCCTGACCTGATTCCGTGCTGTCTATTAAGTCTCCTAAATTGTGGATATTTTTACTCTTGTCCTGAAAGGGGAAAAAGATGATTTATCACTTGAGTCTATTATAAGGTAGTGACAGGTGGGGAGGGGAGTAGAGGGCAGAGAAAGAGGGAGTGTAGAAAGAACACCTTCTCTGTCTTTGGGCTTCTGCCTCAGAACTTAAAATAGAACTTGTTACCCCCATCTTCCCGGTGTTCTGGCATGGAAAAATAGCATCTTGACTAGTTGTGGCTTCTGGGGGAGGGAGCTTTCCCAAAATATTTGTAGTAAAGGTCTTCCCATCATCATCATCATTCCCCTACCCCTCCCTGTCTCCTTCTCTTAGCCTGCTGGCCTGGGTGGCCCAAGAGAGGAACTGGAGGACCAGGCCCCATGAGAATGATATTTCAAAGTGAGTAGAACCAGACTAGAGGTCTGCTTTGGCAAGGGAGAAGGTTACCTCCCTACTCTTTATAGGCTGGGGGAGATTCCTGTGCCTGCAGAAAGGTGAAATAAACAAGACTTCCAAGGACAGAATTACAGGGACCAGTATCATAACTTAGAGATTGTCTTGAGAACTAAGGCAGAGTTTAGTGAAATGAGATGCAAATAAGATCAGTCAATGGGAGTAGGATTAAATAAAGTGGTAAATTAGGAGCATTCAGGGCTCCTCCCCATCCCCCACCTGCCTCAGTTTGCCCTCAGGGTAGCAGCTGGGGGAGGGAGGAGACGAGAGTGGTTACAAAATCATCCAGCAAACCAGGATTCCAGAGGACGGAAGATGTAGGATGTGGGTAGCATGGCTGCTTGCCTCCTGACAGAGAGGTGATGGACCCAAATTACAGAATGAGACATACATTTCTGGATATGGCCAATGAGGGAATTTGCTTCGCTTCACTATGAATATTTGTTATGACTGTTTGATTTTAAATTTCTTTTTGTTGCTGTCGTGGGGGGCAGTGGGAGGGAGAGGAAAAATTCTTGATTGAAAAAGTAAAATAAAATTTATTTTCTAACAACAGAATAAAAAATGATCAGTCAATAAGCATTTATTAAACACCTACTATGTGCCAGGCACTGTGCTAAGCCCTGGGGAATACAAAAAGAAGCAAAAGACAGTTCTTGCCCTCAAGGAGCTTACATTATAATGAGAGAGAAAATATCAAACAACTATATATATATATATATATACATATATATATATATAATATGTGTGTATATATGTATGTATGTATGTATGCATATGTATGTGTATGTGTGTGGGTAGATGGGAGATAATGTCAGAGAGACGGTGCCAAGCAGTGCAGACTCGAGTATGGAGTGGGTACAAAATTCTCTGGGACTGGAGCCAACCAACTGCTTCTCCCTACTCCACGGAAGGGCTGGTGCTGGTATCATTAATTCTATGACCATAGGCAAGTAATGGGCTAAAAGCATTATAGATTGAGAACCCCTTTATTTTGCTGACGAATAAGCTGATGGCCAGAGACGTGAAGTGATTCGCCCAAGGTCACACAGCTTGTAAGACGCAGAGATAAGATTCGAACCCAGGTCCGCATCTGCTGCACTGAAGTGCTGCTCTCTGAGCTTCATTTTTCTCATCTGTAAAATGGGCATAAGAGCGAACCTCCTTACTTCTTGGTAACCCTTTAAGCGCTATAGAAATGAGAGGGGGTGGAGTTTCTGCTCCCACTATCACCGTGGCAGTGGGCTGCGTGGCCCGACCCAGTCGGCAGCGGCCAGAGTCGTCCCCGAGGAGGCCACGAAAGGGCACGCCGCCTGCGGGCTCCTGGCCGCTTTGCCAGCAGTAGTCCGACTCCTTGCAGCCGGGCAGGCAGGCGGGCTGGCGGGCAGGCCGGAGCTCCTCCTACACCCCCTCCCCCGCCCAACTCTCCGCCCCCCTCCCCCCTGGCTCCCAGCTGCCGCGGCTCTCCCTCCCTCCTCGCTCTCTTGCCGCTTTGCTCCCTTGCTCCCACAGCAGGCAGGCTCCTGGCTGGCCGGCCCTCTCTCAGTCCGCGGTCCTCCTGTCCCTAGCTCAGGAGGGAACCTCACAGCCAGCGCCCCTCGCCTCTGCCTCCAGCCTAACCATCCTCTCCCTCCC